AAATGTTCAAAATATTTTATGGCACTTCCTGCAATGGCATTGAAATGGTCTGATGATGGACACCAGTATAAGAAGGTAATTATTTTCACTGTAAATTAATAATGTACCATATTCTCCTCAATCTAAGCCCTAGAACAATGACCACTTTAAAGGCAGAAGACATATTCCATATTTGCAACTTTATTTGGATTACACTGACTTTTTCAGAATTTTTCAGTGGTGGAAGTTATAGCAAAGGGCATGGGAAGTATTGTTTCTAAACTTGCATCCCCTGCCTTTCCCAACACAGACAATGAAATCAGTGTTTCAATTATAGGTCTTTGTTGTTGGGCAACAAATCAGCTTTATTCAAGGGTCAGTAGCATTTGTTTCGCGGTAAATTTGGGTATGCTGCAGACGCTGATGCCGTCCATTGCTTGGTTATGTCTGACAAGAAAAATTATTCCTTGATTATACTCTTTCTCCAACAGAGATTTATTACACAGACAATGCACAACACTGTGGGAGCTCTTAAATTAAGGGCCTAATGGCTGGCAGCCTGCAGTGTTAAGAAAGGAAAAAAAAAAAAGTCACTGTTCTCTGAAAGAAGCGAACTTTAATGGAAATGTCTTTGTTTTTTAATTCAGCAGAAAAAGCATCATAACCATGAAGGATGATTGAGATACCATGTGCAGAGAGAAAAGGGATATGTGGACTGAAATAGCCCGTCAGACAGGCTATCACTAGTACACAGGGTGACTTGCCCAGGGATAGGACAAGTGGAAATGGGCACAAACTTGAATATAAGAACTTCCATCTAAACATGAGGAGGAACTTCTTTCCTGTGAGGGTGGCAGAGCCCTGGAAGGGGCTGCCCAGGGAGGTGGTGGAGTCTCCTTCTCTGGAGACATTCAAACCCACCTGGACACGTTCCTGTGCAACCTGCTCTGGGTAGACCTGCTTTGGCAGGGGGTTGGACTAGATGATCTCCAGAGGTCCCTTCCAACCCCACATCATTCTGTGATTCTGTGACTTGTCCTGCAGCCCTGATCTCATAATTATTCAAAGCAGCAACCAATTTGGTGCATGTCAGCGAGAGATTTTTATCTGTACCTCCTCTTATCTTGTGATAGGAGTCTTTGGGACTTTAAGAATGGGATTAGAGATCCTGGCTGGACTCTTCTCAGCCTACAAAATCAAAAGCACTTACATGTAGAGGCTTTGCACACATAAACATGCAGACAAAATATGAGATCTTTTTACATAGAAATGGAGACCAGTCTGTTGGTGTCAGCATTTATTTAAACACAAGATCTCATAGCTCAATAATGACTTGGATAAATTGCATTTGATTCCTTGCTTATTTAGTTACCCCTGCTGGAGCAGAGGAATTTGCTGTGTGTGGCAGCTCAGGCCTCCCGTTAGCTGCAAGTGGTGTCACCAACGTGAGTGTTGAGGAACTGGCTCCACCGTGTGGGCTATGGAAAATGAACATTACAAACCCAGCAAAAAGTATCCTTCCCGTCAGTTTTCAGTAAGGATGCTTGCATTGGCTATGGGATAAAGGTAGGATGAATAGTGGGAATGTCAGTAAAAAAGAAAAAAAAAAATACTGTTAGGAATTGGAATAATTAAAAATCTTAATCCAGTAAAGCTTTATTTTCACTATATAGGTCTGAGAGAACTGGCCCGTAGTCTCACTGGTCTACCCAGCAAGGAACCTGGTCTAACTTCAGGAAGGAGTTTCAAGTTCTTCAACAGTTTTGTGAAAGACATTCTGCAAGACATTAATACCAGCGAAAGAGCGACATTGTGCTACTCAAATTCACCAAAGGCATATTTTTTCCTAACACCTACTGCACGTTCTGCTTACCGATGTCACGACAGAATTGCAAAAGCATGAGTTGATGTCAACCTCTGGCTTGGAGAACTGGTGGCACAATCAGTGAGACTGACAGCCAGAATTCCCATACAGATATTCCCATTCTGTGTAAGCACTCCTGCTTGTGCTGACTCCAGATACGGATCAGTAGCACCACCACTTCTGCATACCTGATGGCAGCATCACTTCCAACCTTCCTGTTGGATTTTCTCCTAGAAAGGCAGGACGCCATCTCCAGAGAGATCTTGTTAAACAAAGTTCTTAAAAGAAGGGTTGCAATTTGTTATGCTGATCTTTTCAGCTTTCTGAAGCAACTCCTTTGACTGGATGGAATTTGCTCTGCTGTCCTACTTAATTTGTCACCTTGCTTAGTGATAATATTCGTTCTCATATATATGTATATTCCTATTAATCCTTCTTCATTTGTACCCATGCTCTTCACAGTCATCCTTATTGACACTGAGGTATTCACTTAGACCGTGGACTTAGATTATCTTTGCCTCATCCTGACAGCATAGAACCTGCATTTCTTTCTACTCCATCTTCCTTTTCCATGGCTGATTTTCCATCTACCTTGTGTTATTTTCAAAAGTAAAAATTGACATGACTTCTTGACAAAGTTCACTTTACTTACGTGATCTCTGAAATCAAAGACACACATTTCTTGGCTGATGATTTCTCTTTGCATTTCTTACTGGGACTTACTCCCAACAGCCTTTTTGCTCACTATTCACCAGCAAGTGCAGCATTCCTTTGCAATGTAAATTCCAGAGATTTTAGAAGCTTTTGCTTTAAAGAATAACAAGTGTTTTCCTCATTTAAGTGCATGAACTTTTTCGGTTCACTTAACTTGTATTTACACAAATACAGAATCCTCGCCTCTTTGAAATTAAAGACTTTGAAGATACAATTTTATCTGTTCTTTTAATTTGAATGGAAGCATCTTGCAATAATTAATTCAAGATTCATATCAAGGACAAGCACACTTGTTCACTGAAGCCCAAACTGTAATTGCATAGCACATCATCTCCTATTGCACACATGATTAACTGATAAAGAAGTCAGGCATTTGTTACATACAGGATTAAGTGGATTCTACACGTTTGCAAGTATTTTGCCGTCCAGTCCAAAGATGAGAGTTAAAATTTTCTGTAGTAACAATACTCTGTAAGTGTTTAGTTTCCTAATAATGCCACAAGGTCTTAATCTGCGTTCAAACCTGTTTCTGTGTTTGAATGAACACAAAACTTTACAGCCTTTCTCTCTTTTCCTCACAAATAGCCCTGACCATTTCATTTTATTGCACATTTTTGCAAATCAACAGGTACAGCAGCCCTAAACAAAAAAAAAAAAAAAAACTTTAAAAAATATGTTCCTGAAAAAAAGGTGAGTCCAATTTGATCTATTATTCATCACTAGCTGTACATCAGCTGCACTCTTTTTTTTTGGGGGGGAGGAGGGGAAGTATTATAATAGGTTCTATTAAGTTACTCATTTTGGAAAGAAAATAATTCCTGAATCCATGCTTTGTGCTGCAATATTGACAAAGATAAATGCCAGAAATCATGGAGAGGACAGGCAGATAGATGAGATGGAAGACACACTGTATAGCTGCTTCCTTGGCTGAGGCATGGGACAAAATGCCTCAGGAAGAAGCAGGTACTGTTTTATTTTGCTAAACTCACTGACAATATGAACATTCTTTGACTCTGATGATTCAGCAGGTAAACACCAGCAAGCAGATCCAGGAAAGTCTTTCTTTAAGATACAGGGAAAATAATATATATTCTTTTCATTTGGTAGTAGAAATGCACAGCCATAGCTGAGCTGTGTCAGGAATTTACACGTGACTGAAAGATGGCCATAGCTGGTGGGAAACTTGTTTCAGTTTAAAAAACAACAACAACAAAAAAGCTTTGAAACTGTAGTAATAAGCTTTTAATTTTCTAGTAATTGCTCTTGTGAAGTGTGGGAAGCTGGGAGTGTTTCAGTGTCTGGCAAAACCTAATAGGTGGCAATTCATTTCACATTTGCTTGCCCTGTTGAAATTAATATATACATTAGATACATTAAAGTAGTCAAAGATTTAGTGCACCACACTGATTAGGGTAATTTTTACTTTTTTTAAAATTCATCACTTCCTAATGTGTTTTTCTCTATTTTTAAGGTAGATGAAGCAGCAGGATTAGAGTTTACATAACATATTCTTAGTTTGTTACCAAGGTAATCACTACAAAGCTACACTACTCATCCAAAGGAGAAAGGCAACAAAACCATGTATGCTTTATTCTTCAAGAGAAAAATAAAGGTGTAATACATATTTTTAAAGAGGTTGATGTGGTAGTAATTTGTGTAGTCGTAGTTTGTGTACTTTGGTGTAGTTGTAATTTGAAGACAAAAGGGACCCAGAGCAAATGTAGGAGGGAATAATATGATTTTTCGACTGTATTTTCCATGGTGCCAACACACAAAGCATGTGTTTGCTGCTGGATCCAAAACTACTATGTCAGTATTTGATAAATTTGATTTGATATTTAATATTTGATTTGATATTCTGCCTTTCAAAAGCAGCAGAGGAACCATGCAAATAAAGCAAAGTACATTCAGTATCTGATTTTGTGGGCAATTAAGATATTACTTCACTTTAACAAGTTTGTGTGCTTAAAAAGCATAAATTAATCACGAAATTTCAGAATGATGTCACACTTCAGCTAAATGACCTACGTGCTTCTTGCACGAAACCAAAAATCACATCCAACTTAATGATATTCAAGATCATACATGAATGTATACATTTTGGGAAGATGTAAGAGAATGTTTCTGTCCAGGTAAAAAATAAACACTTTTTTTTTTTTTTTTTGTACCAGAAAAGAGACAACAATTGCTACTGCTCTGATGTCTCATATTTTTGAGGATCTGTTTGATTGGATACACAGAAACCAGGATGAGATATTAAACTAAACTCCAACAGCTAAAACCATCATTACTGGAGTGTCTGTCCACCCTTGCATTACAAACATATATATCAGAGAAAAGAGTAGCAAGGTTTTCTAGTAAGCTCTTCTTACTTTCAATCGTCATTAGCATGAGAAATAAAACCAGAAATCAATTTTTTATGTAAGTCAATTTATTGGTTCTCTGAAGACACAAAAGCTGTTATTTCAAGTGCAGGCAACTAATCTTGTTTTATTGCCCCAATAACAAGAGATTAAAACATCACAGTCAATGGCTTGAAGGTAGAAAGACTCAAACTCTTGTCTCAGTTATTTGTGTTGAAATTTTCTCAACAGTAAGATCAACCCCATATGGATATGAGGAGATATTTTACGTGTAAGACATAGTGCAGTAGAAAAAATGTTGCTTATGAGCTTTCTGTAGAAACATTTTTATGTGTTGAGACGATGCACAGATTCAAGAGTTTAAAGAAGATCATGGAGACTCTTAAAATCAATACTGCTGCAAGTGCTGCACTCATAATATCAAAAGCTCATCTTCTGATTAGATTAAGCCAAGGCCAAAACATTCGTAAACAGGTTTCAATCAATACTTCAATTTCTGCTGACATTAACTTTTTTTTTTAAATGAAACTGCTTTATACTAAGCCAAATACAGTTCTAATAAACTGAAATATTAATTCTGAATGGGAATTCAACAATTCTTCCAACATTTTTAAATGAATACAAAGAACCAAACTCTGCACTCACTTTCATTCCTGAATTCTCAGTGAATTGTGCTGGAAATACCAATAGAATTTGTCCAATGTTGCCCATTCATTACTTCCCTGTTGAAGCACCGCTTTTCTAGTAAAGGTGAAAAATGAAAGAGTGAAGGAGAACTGGGAAATGCCTGTTCTAGCCATGTGTGACCCTGGTTTTTTTTAACTCTGATATATCCCTCATCAATGTTGCTGTCAACGTTTATGGCAACATCTCCAGAAGAACGCTCTCTGCCACCTACTGTTAGAGGAATACAGAGAATCCAGAAGCTTCATTTGCAGGAGGCTTTATGCACCACCTTTGGCCACCCAATCTCCTGTATGTACAATACTGAATAATCAACCTGATGGTGAACACAACATAGCAGATCTTTACTCACATAGTCTGCATGTAGGTTCAACCTAGGTGGTACTTGTGTTAACGCTGTTTCGGAAGCACGCTGAAATGATAAAGTTTGCATGATGAAGGACAGGGGAAGATGATTTAGAAGTTTCTGCCTGCCAGGGATTCCTTGCCCGGATCATACATGCCACCTGATGTGTCTCCCCAGAGCTCAACAGACTCCACTTAGAGTCTATAACTACATGGAGTCACAATAAAGAAACACTTAAGTGACCACCTGGATTTTTCAGTAGCGGGGATGACAAATGACACATATGAGTCATCCACAAAGACTGTCTCCATATGCAACAAAATCCCTAATAGGTGACATTGTTAATATGCAGACTAAGATGTCAAAAATAATAACAAAAAAAAAACCCAGGCAGAGCATCAAAACTGAAAAGCCATCATCCTGGGAGGTAAAATAGAGCAGCAGAAGAAAGGCACTTTCCCCCCAGGAATACTAGAGCTCCTGTACTAAATGCAAGGCAACGCCATACCAGCAGCACTCTACAGATGGATGGGTGAAGTAACAGCAGCAGGGAAAGAAGAAAAGATCAACGGGCAGCAGCAGGACATGGCAAATGATTAAATGACAGCAAGGTATCTTTTCTTCTTCACACACGGAGGCTGAGTATGCCTAATTGTGTCCCCAGAATACTAATCTTGGGTAACACACGATGAACAGGAGAGGGAAGGAAAAATCTGGTATGTTAAAGAGGAACTTATTCTTTGGATGTTCGCACTGGAGGTGGGATATCTGAGGAAGATCACCACTCGTGATGCTGCAGAAGCAGGCGTTTTACATCCTGTTCATTCCTGTTAACCCACTGTTATTTCTGCTGTCCTAAACTACTGCTTCATTTTACTGCCTTTACGGCATTTCCTTTGAAATTGATTTTAAATATTGAAACTGAGCCCCTTTTTCTTCCAAGCCCACATGGCGGAGAGGTGACACTAATGCAAATGCTGAGGCATCTGTGGTCAAGAATCACGTATATCTCACGTTTCCTTATTAAGGTTAGTATTTGCATACAGTATTTTTTTCTGCTTTCGAAATCAGATTCAGTTTTACCACTCAGAATTTCAAGCTGAGAAACACAGATCTGGATCCAGAGGAAAAGCAGTAGGCAGCAAAAACTAACTACGCTTTGGGATGCAGGGATTTCCTCACTCGGGTTCAGCAGAGGGAGACTTGAGGCTTCACTTGAACGAGGCTCTCACTATCCTGCCCTTCACGGGCTGAGGTGGGCGCCAGTTATCAACCAGTGGATTCATAGGTTCGTTCTCACCATTCTTGGAAAGGCTACGGAGCTTCGCCATCTGCAAGGCAGAAAAATTAGAGTGTCCATGTGAAATGGCCTGGAAGCAGTGAGGACCTAGATGCCTAGAACAAACTCTGAGACAGAACAGAAATTTTCATATATAATTGGCAAGCACACTGTAAAGATTATTGGTAAAGGTTGCTTCAGCCCAGCAGCCAGCCCTTCTTCTGTGGGTCTTCACACCCTTCACCCACAGAACAGTGCATCATCTGACCCTTGCCTGGGCTTCTTTTGGATGTTTTCCCTGACCCACACTCACAAAGTGGAGAGAGTGGTGGTGAATGGAGTTAAATCCAGCTGGCGTCCAGTCACGAGTGGTGTCCCACAGGGCTCGGTACTGGGGCCAGTTCTCTTTAACATCTTTATCAATGATCTGGACGAGGGGATCGAGTGCACCCTCAGTAAGTTTGCAGATGACACCAAGCTGGGTGGGAGTGTTGATCTGCTGGAGGGTAGAGAGGCTCTGCAGAGGGATCTGGACAGGCTGGATGGATGGGCTGAGACCAACAGGATGAGGTTCAATAAGGCCAAGTGCTGGGTCCTGCCCTTGGGTCCCACCAACCCCCTGCAGCGCTCCAGGCTGGGGGCAGAGTGGCTGGAGCTGCCTGGCAGAAAAGGACCTGGGGGTGTTGGTGGACACCGGCTGAACAGGAGCCAGCAGTGTGCCCAGGTGGCCAAGAAGGCCGCCAGCATCCTGGCCTGGGTCAGGAACAGCGTGGGGAGTAGGGCCCGAGAGGTGATTGTCCCCCTGTACTGGGCACTGGTGAGGCCTCACCTCGAGTGCTGTGTCCAGTTTTGGGCCCCCTACCATAAAAAAGACATTGAGGGGCTGGAGCGGGTCCAGAGAAGGGCGTCAAAGATGGTGAGGGGTCTGGAGCACAAGGCTGATGAGGAGAGGCTGAGGGAGCTGGGGGTGTTCAGTCTGGAGAAGAGGAGGCTGAGGGGAGACCTTATTGCTCTCTCCAACTCCCTGAAAGGAGGGTGTAGAGAGGTGGGGGTCGGTCTCTTCTCCCAAGTCACAGGCGACAGGACGAGAGGAAATGGCCTCAAGTTACACCAGGGGAGGTTCAGGCTGGATATTAGGAAAAATTTTTTCACTGAAAGGGTTATCAGCCATTGGAATGGGCTGCCCAGGGAGGTGGTTGAGGCACCATCCCTGGAGGTGTTCCAAAGACGGGTTGATGTGGTGCTGGGGGACATGGTTTAGTGAGGTGTGCTTTTTGTTTGTTGTGTGGGTGTTTATTTTTGTCAAAATTAGGTTGACGGTTGGACAAGGTGATCTTTAAGGTCCCTTCCAACCTAGACGATCCTGTGATTCTGTGGAAAAAGAGTAGGGACCTCCTGTGACCCTGCTGGAGCTGGACTGCAGTCAAATCACTTGTGACAATATGGCTGTCTGTGAAGGAGGATGCACAGCACATCTAACTCTTTGCAAGGCAGTCTGATAGAAAAATCTGGCCTGCAGCAGTGCCTATTTTGTTCTGTAAGGCAGGGAGAAATGTTATGCCAACTGGACTATTAAATTCAATCATGAATCCAGCACTTTGCCATTGTTCTCCAAATTAGTTTAAATTCAGTGTTTCTTTGTTAATTGTTACCCTGTCATTAGAATACAAAATAAATCTGTTCTGAAACCAGCCAAATCAATAAAAAGGCTACATCCTGACTAGTGCTGCTGAAGCAGAAAATGTTATAGATAACCAAATGGTTTAACACAAGAACTTAAAAGGTGGTCACCTACTCCAGACTGGCTCTCTATTCTTTCCCCTATGTAAATGCGCATTTGAGCTATATGAATACAATTAGTACAGTAATTTCTGTTAACATTCGGGTTTGCAGGTTCTAGCTAGTTTGATCCTTCTCATTGACAGCTTTTCGGAAGTCCAGCAATTTCTTAAACTGGGAAAGCAGCTAAATGTTAGTGTCACTTAACGCCGAAGCACAGAGAATGAACTGAGGCTGCTGCAACGGCTGAATTTTGTGGCTTGGAGGTGCTTCTGCCTATGCAGGTTTTCAGGATCCCAAGAATAGCTCCTGCTAAAGCTATTCCGGGAGGTTTCTAGGAAGAGAGCCTGATTCTCAAGGTCACTTTTACAGTCCGTTTCAACAGTCCATTCTGCAGGCAATTTCTCACAGCCCTCGGCTAACGCTTTCCTCATCAAAAAATGCGAGGTGACATGGGGCTGGCAAATCATCACACCGACACAGTGAAACCCTGCTGAGAGCTGGTAAAGGGGTAGCAGAAGTGGCTGGAGTTTACCTGGTCTGGGCTGACTTCAATGGGCTCCCTCAAGAGAATCCAGGTGATGCACTCCTCGCAGGGGGGTGTGGTGAACGAGCCGTGGTAGGTCCAGTAGTCCCGGGATTGGGGGAAAAGAATTGAAGGATCAAAGTGCTGAAAAGGAGCCTCTTTGCCCTTAAGAGAAACCAAAAATAATCATCTGCGGTAACTCCAGGGATATGCATCTTAAAAGGTATCAGTATCTATGTTATTATAAAGGAAGTAATTAAATACCAAGATTCATGCAAGAGGTCAATCTCCTTTTCTTCCTGTCAAGCATTTGCCCTTCGATTTGTAATAAATGACATGTTGATTCCATTAATAAATTCCAAGAAATTACAAAGTGAATTTGTATGAGACCAAAGCAAATCCATTGCTACTTTTTTCTATTCTGGAATTACCAAAATTTTGTGTTATTTGGGTCACTTGGGATAAAAGATAACGTCTGTGGCACTGCAGGTACTGGTACCCTTTTTATCCAATAGTTGAGTGGCCAGGCATTTATTCCAGATTTGTTAGTCTTCCCCTCTATCTTGAAGGAATTTAAATCTGCATCTCTATCCTCCCCAAATTGTGCTCTAATTAATTTGTCGTAGTGTCTCAATACTTTTGTTGGCACTATGACCCTTAATGTAAAAAATTAAAATATTTCCTGGAAGAGTACTGGATCCTGAATGTCTTACAACTAAAGATGATTATCACCAGACAAGGGAGAACAGCAGGCAGCAGATGGCATTTCCTGGGAAGTTTTTCTTTTCCACTGAATTGGATACTCAAGACAGTATCTCCACAGGACTGTGGTGGGACTTCCTTGTCACCTGCAGGGTGACAAGAACTAAACAAGAAAGTTCAGTTCCCTACTGGTATTTAGGATGCAGTTCTGGAAAGAAAAAAATCTATTATTCCAAATTCCTTCTCCTATCATGGAGAATGTTCTCTAGATGGGAATGGAATATTACCCTATCAGGTGCAATGGGAGGAGCTGAAATCTTTTCCACACATTCGTGGACAAAATGTGGGTGGAAAGCATAACATTAAGACTCATCTTCTTGACAAAATTGTTCTGTAAGTTCAATATGAGTTTGCAAATAACTTCACAAACAAAATTGCTCTTTTCCAGAAAACACAGTTAAGTGTCCTCTGCCTGTAACGCATCGTAGCAATTGAAACTTCATGTGTGATAAATACACCGGTGACACCGTCCATTAATCTTTCCTGAAAGATAAGTAGTCTTGGTAAAATGCATGTGATCAGAGAGAAAGTAAGTACAAGATAAAACACAAGATGTGGTTATTTGCATGTGCACCAATCTTTCTCCGCTTTTCTTCAACTGTTGCTTTTCCCAGAACCACTGCAGAGAATATCCATATGCAGGAAATCAGACTTCTATTTTTTTTGCTGTTAGAGGTCATTAAAACCTCCAGTTCAGCAGTCTCAGGTAGACTGTAATGGAATGGTTATCACTGCCACCGTGTCATCATTGTGTGACACAGTGTTTCATAGGGTGATTGATCAACCCTTTGTGAACATGCAGAGCTCTTCGGCATGTAAATGGCCAAAAATTTATATAGGGATTGTGAGAGAAAGCTGAATCTGTATCAAGACAGATATCATTGACGCAGCAGGGGAAGCAAAATGTAGGGCAAAAAAATGACCTGCAGTTCCCTCAACAGAAGGAACTGAATTGTACCTGAAGGCTAAAATAAAATTAACATGACTCTGAGTGAGGAAAGAACAGGCTTCAGGCTCAGACCCGTACATCAATGGCACTATATAAACACATAAATTAAATGCAAGAAATTCTGCTAAATGCAAAAGAAAATGCTTACAAAAGTAGAAAAATTCAGTCCTGGTGATCCTACAGTATGTTCAATGTCAAATAAAAAGGGGGCTTTTAGCATCATTAGAGTCATAAAGCTTATAATGAAGAATTGTTAACGTAATACCTAGAGGTTAAGTTTATGTTAACAATAGTATCACAATTCTTCGCAAAGAACTCCTTTCTGCAGTTATATCTATGCAATAGGTATGGACTTTGGTCCTGAGATCATTAATTAAACTATAAACCAGTTTAGAATAGGTTTGCAATGCCTTTTTTGCTACTATCATAGGAAGACAGATCCTAGGACGGGTGCAGAAACTGTACTGTGTTATCACTTTCATAAATGAATTCAATTCCATCTTAAAACTAATAATGTTTTTGATCTCCCTTACACTGACTAGGAGTTTGCTCCATCATTCCTGTTAGTTTCTTCTCATTTCAGGCAAGCTAAATTTCTAACTCAATTATATGCTGCTGTCTTCAAATTCAAAAAGCTTTTCATTTCTTCTTGATATTTGCACACTAGCAGATTTTTTACAGAGCAGTATTGAGAAGACTATCAATTGTGCGTGCAAGGATGGCTACAAAATTCTCTACAACAAGAATACTCACAGAAGTGAAGACTTCTAAGTTTACTTAAGTAAAAGAAAGAGTCTTGCTCCACAGTCCAACGTACCACCTCTAGTGCTACTGTTAGGTATAAGAATGATGCCAAAAAGGGAATCTGAACTTCTGCTGCTTTTCAACTACATTATATCACAAAAATCATTTTGATACCTTGGTCTTAATGTTATCAATTTCTTCAAGAATCCTCTTCATCTCTGGTTTGGGAGTTTTTCCAACCTGTAATGCAAAGCACAAGTACTGTGTTTTTACATCATATGCCACGGTATTAGAAAGAAATTCAGTACAACCCATCTGCCAGGTCGGGCAGCAGTACTCTCACACTGACACAAAATTATGTGTGTTAAGAGAATATCAGGAATAGCAGACTTGAATAACTGGCTTTGTAATTCAAAAATGTGTTGAAGACCTCTGCAAGGCATCTCCCACCGTCTGAGGAGCAAACCATGCTCAGACTGTGTCATCTACACCCTCCAGGTCCTAGTCCTCTGCTTCTGGTTGAAAGCAACCCACAACCACTGGGAGATGTATGAGCAATCAGCAAAGTGTTGATAGTCTGAAGAGCTGGAGTTCCTGCAGACTCTTCAAATGGTCTGCAGCACAGATGCAGTCAGGTCAGACTTGATGTAAGACATGTAACAAGCTTTGTGTTATGACCCCCTCAAACTATGGGGTCAATTTATTGGTTGCGTTCACGATGTTAGGCACCTCCAAAAGCTTTGACATGGCTCTGCATCCCAGAAGAATGAAGACAGTATGCATAAGACATGCAGTTACTGCCATGTCTTGTTCCAAAATAGATATACAACCTCTATTTTAGCAATACTCAAAACCCCCAATTATGGAATAGGAAAAGCACAGAGAAAAACAATGTCTTCTATGCCAAAGAGCAAGAAGGAAACAGGGAAAGAAGGCCAGTGAAGATAGAGTGATATTACTGACTTTTCTAGATCTTTTAGCTGACCTTAGCATAGGAACATGTTATACTCTATACATTGTGTTTTACAAGATAAAGCTTTAACCTCAAGTAGACCAAAAGAAATGACAAAGTAAGAATAATTGAAGGACTCAGTCAAGACCACACGTGCTATGTGCCACTGGTGCCACGAATGGTGTCAGAAGTTGGCTCTGAATGGGTTAGTGCATGGAATCTGAAGGGGCCAAGAATATACACGATTTGAGTCTGCACATCACTTTGAATGTGTTCCTGAAAAATGATATTGTGCAGGGAAAAACAATGCGAACTTTCTCCCTGGCCCTAGAGAAAGATGAAAAATGCAGAAAATTATAAAGACTGAATATTTGCTACTTACTTTCAGAAAAATGCCCACAACGGCCACACCATCAGGTTGTTTCAAAGCTCCAGCAAAATTACCATGCTTTGGATTCCAGTGCACCATATGTAACTGAAAATCAATGAAACCTCAGTTATAAATGCAAGAAATTGCCAGCAGCACAATCTTACAAGCTTTTACATTAAATTAGGAAAAGTTTCCAGTACACAATAAGTAAAGGAAGGGACATAAAAAAGAGAACTGCTAGTTAAGTATTTCCTTTTCTTGTTCCCCTGCTTCCATACACTCACACTTCATATAAAGCATCATTTTGCATTTAACTGAAGCATAAAAGAAAGAAAACAGAGTTCACCACACAATACATTTAAAAATTAATCAGACAATTCAACTATAAACAGTTTAACCCAAGCATGTGGCGTGCCCACATGCAGTGCATAGAACACCTACTGACATGCCCTTCAGTTCAAGTAGGTTTTTAGATCTTCTTGTTATGCAGATAACAGCTCGAGGATTTACACTGGGTTGTAGGTAGTACGTGTGTTATTGTTTTGTATGCTTTACTACTGTCATCGCTTTGTACTGAAAAGGAGAGGAGATAGTAACCCCATATTTCTTTCTCATTTCTACTTTCAACAACGCTATATATTTCAAGCTTTTCAATCTTCTTCCTGAAAATATCTGGCTCCTGCATATAGCTAGAAATTCTGCAACCAACAGTGTGGAATCCCCAAATAAGTAGTGTCTGGAACGTAGTGCCATACAAAACAATAGAGTCCAGTGCACATTTTGAATGCAAATTTTTAACAATTTTTTTTTTTTTTTTAAGCACAGTAACAATTATTTAAAACAACAAAATCATTTGTCCTGAATATAAATTCATGTATTGTTCTCTGTTTTTTTTTTTTCCTTTGAGGATAAGGATATCATTGCTAAGGATAAAGGTGGAGCAGCCATGTATTTTTGGTTGGATTCTAGCACAATTTCATACATTCCAGGCTTCCTCCTCCTGCCAATAAATATCTGAGTACTGCAAACAAAAGCAAAGTAAAAAGTCTGTGCTTGAACTAGACAAAAAATAGCTTAAGGAAGCAGAATTTGTCTGGTTAATGGGCCAAAGAACATAGAACACCAACAGAGTTTGGCTGCGGTTACGGAATGGGGAAAAAAAATCCCTAAACCATCATGCACAGTCATTTCTGCAATGTTTGTGAACGCTGGCCCTGCAAAATATCTGCCTGAATTTTCTCCTATGACAGGTGGGCAAAGCCCCTTGAGGGTATAGGTGTAAGGCAGGAAAACACTACTGCAGAGTTTTTGTGGGCATAGGCATATATTTTGAGCCTATTCTCAAATAAGAGGGAGAAAAGAAGTAACATTTGCTAGCCATTCACTAGCATCAATAGTGTATTCACTTATATTTATTACTTGAAGAAGTCTTCAAAGCCTAGAGTATCCACTAATTTTAGCAAATTTGGACAACAATGGTGCAGTAGTTTACATTTTAAAAAAACTGTAACTACTGTTTACCAAATCTGTTTTCCACAGGCCCCAAAAATAAACACGGTGATTTTAAAGCACAGATGTTCAGGAACAGAATATGATCCTTACCACTCGTAATAAGTTTTAAGGAGGATCTAATTTTGCATGTCAGTTTACAAAATGTGCTTTTAGTGAGTTTTTCTGTTCATTGGTAATGCTTTCTGAAACTAACTTGGTAATTCAAGTTATACCAGAAATGGCTCAGAGCCAAAAAAAACACCATCAGAAAACAGATTATCCTATTTGTCAGGAACAGATCGCTTTGTCGTTTTGCCTCAAATACTTTTAAAACATTCTAAAATACCAGCAAAAACTCGGGCTTGAAGAAGCAAATTCCATGTTAGTATATACTGGCAAAGATACATTTGTTGGCAGATGTAACTTTTCCCACTGCACACTGACAAACATTCACAAGTTTCACAGATTTTGGAGAAAAACCCATGGCTTGGAAAAAGGACAGTGGTTAATCTGTTCAGGTTAATGTTCAGGTGCATAATTAGTCAAGTTCGGGTTAATACTGAATTTTGCTATTAAAAATAAGTCCTACCTCTGCTGCATATTTCACCCCATCTACAACATGCTCGGAGCCGTGGTCGTCAGAGGAACCCCAATGCAGGTGAAGCTGACGTAGCCTGTAGGCTCCCGAGAGTGGTCCCCCTCGCAGCACTGCAATGGATAATCTCCGTCAGCCCTGCCCTACAAGATGCTGACACACACCTTCATCCAAGGGGGATGCTTTGAGAGCCTGGAACACCTCTCCTAAACCCAGCTGGCTGCAGCTGGGGGATCACAACGCTCACCAGTTTGCAAGGCTGGGGCTGAAGAGAGCCCCTGAGTGGTACCAAAAGTGTGGGAGCTGCTGAGAGTCAAGCACAGAATCAAACCCCAGAAGGGTGGTGGAGCACTGGAACAGGTTGCCCAGGGAGGTGGTTGAGGCCCCTTCCCTGGAGATATTCAAGGTGAGGCTCGACGAGGCCCTGGTCAACCTGGTCTAGTTGGGGGTGTCCCTGCTGACTGCGGGGGGGTCGGACTAGATGGCCTTTGGAGGTCCCTTCCGGCCTGGGCAGTTCTATGAGTCTATGATTCTAAGTCTGACAAACCCCTTTTCCTTTGGCAATGGGCACGCTACAGTTCCTGATGTGGGGAGAAAAGGAAGGCATGCACGGCTTATTCTCATCAGGAGAAGGGTCTGGTGTGAAATGGTTGGGGATCAGACTGTGAAATGAACCCAAAGGTGCTTTGAAGCATACCTCTAGTCCGTGACCAGCCTACCTGTTACAGTTCAGACAACTAAACGGGGGCTACATCGTAGTGTGCTGCTTCTAAAAGAAAAGGTCTGTTTCTTGAAAGTGAGGGAAGAGAAAGGAGTTTAGGTCAAATGAGTTAGGAAAGTGTTCTTGAGCAAGCAAAAGCTATATTCCATATGAACATTGCCACCAGAAGAAGCTATTATTGCTGATGTTCTTGGCCAAATAATGCTGACTAGCCATAAGTCTGACAGTTTGCATCAATGCTGACTTTCAAAACATCACGCCTGCTCCTTCAGTTTGGGGATTCCTTTGAGCAGGGACTGCTTAGAAGATAAGCTCTCAAATACATTTTTCATTCATTACCTCAGGCAGGAATGAGATGTCTTTCCTTATACAGAAAGCTGGTAACGCAGTTCACAACTGCCGTGCCAGAAGACCTTGTTGAAATAGCATTCAAGTTTGAACTTCTACCAATAGCTTTGAAGTTCAAAGTTAACATGGAAATAATATTTAAATCCTCCTGTGCCCAATGGTCTCAAATAAATTCTTCATATCATATGTGTTGGAATACCTACACAGAGCAAGAGGTTTAACTTGGCAGTTTCTTTTCAGTCGGTGGGTGTCACAGCCATAGGAGGGGCAGGAACAAAGCTCTGTGTTGAGTTTTAGGCATGCAGTTCCTCTTATTTTTTGGGTTTGTTCATACATAAATAAATTACCATAATTTACTCAATACAGTATTGAGTAAGCCTTCTGTAGAAAATATGTCTATTATTATTATTATTATTGTTTCACTTTTGAAAGTAGGAAAAATAAGGCAAAGACTCTAAGGCCCAAATCCTCATAAGTATTTGCTTGCCATTTCACCCTGGAATCAGGCAGGAACTTTCAGGAGTGAATGAAAGTGCAATCTACGATTTGTCTGATGCCACGGTGTAGAAACTGCAGTCACAAACACTAAAGCATCAAACAAATACAGAACAAAAAGAGGTCCTGTCCTAAATAGTTTAGACTCCATCTGCAAGACGGAACAACAAAAAGGTAGCTGTAATAGTAAATAAAGGAGATCAAGGAAACAATGAGCTCATCAAGATAAACAAGAGAGATAGTGATCTTTCAATGTACTGCAGATAAATTTCATTAATTATGTAGCTAACTAAGAACAAAATCCCAATACACATGCCATCAGAGCAGATGCAGAAAATTATAATGGGAAGTTACTCTGTTTTCAATTAATTAGATTGCTTTTCTTCTTGATAAAGAATGGATCAATATTGCATGCTCTTGAGATGCCTTCACATTACACGGTATTGTGAATTTGGCATTCATTTCGGCTGTTGTTGCCTGTCTGCATTCAGAGCTACACACTGATACAGCTCTGGAATCAAGTTTTGAACAATTTAACTGGGAGAAGCAAGGCTGCTCTCTCTCAATTAAATAACAAAGCCATTTCATAGCTTTCCAGAAGCTAGGAAATACTATTTTCATAAATGCTATTTTCATAGCTTTTTCAGGCTCTGAAGGAGTCTGTGAAGAGTTCCCATGCACACAGAAGAAATCAGGGTCGGTGAGTGGAAATATACGAGTTTTGTGTTGAGGAAGAGCCTCAGGGTGCACACTCCACCCTTCTGGGGGACGCTTTCTCCCCTCAGACAAGAGCTGAGGATGCTGTGTCTGTGCTGCAGGAGGTGAGATGGGCAGAAGTCTACCTTCCAGCTGCCCCTGCAGCTACAGCCTCCCTGTCCCACCTGTGGTGGAGCTAAAAATGGGCAGATCCACCAGACAAAACTCCAAGAGCACCTTTTCAATGTGCCCAGATGACTTTTCTCTGCCAGCCCCCACAGACTGGGTACCACAGGATGCGCTTTTGCAACCCCCAGCGCTTTGCAACCCCCAGAAGCCAAACCAAAAAAAAAAAAACAAACCAAAACACCCCCAACTTCCTCACACACACACACACACCTGATCGGTCGAAAGTGTCATCGAAGACAACCCGGCAGGTGCGCCCGTTGTTGAGGATGGTTTTGGCCGCCCCGGGGTCGTAGCTGGCGTGCCAAGGCGTGAGGCAGGTGTCGTACCGCGTCTCTTTGCTGTTGATCTCGATGGGTGACTGGTTGTCTCCCTTGGCCAGGGGGTAGTTTTCATGCCAGCGCTCAGGTCCTGGGTTGGGGGTGGTGGGGTGGTGGAAAAGGCAAGGAGATGTCGCTGCAGCTCAGACCCCCC